CAAATTTGGGAGTGTAGGATGATGTTGCTGCTCGCAAACAATCGTCAAGATGGGCGTCAGTAAGTCGAGATCTGCGCTTTGATTTTATGATGTTCATGGTTGAACGGCCTTCATTATTCAGTATAACCTCTTTCCGTAACAATGCGGGCACCCAAAAAAAGCCTTGGTGGGTGCCATGGCGCCCGCGGGCACCGCGTTGGGAACCACTGATCTACATTTTCTTTGCAGAATACTTAAGAATGTAAACAAGGCTGAATCAATATATTCTAACAATTGTCTTTCCACTACATTCATACAATAACCAATGCACAGATAATTTGTACAGAACTATCACTACTGAAAAGACAATGAAAACCAACTAGCCATGCATGAATGAAGATTCGCGTTGTTTACATATGCCATATTTTTCAATTCTGTCATCACTTTAAAGGTTTTTAAAAATTGCCTTTCCCACATATTCTGTTTTACATAATATAAAGTTCAATAAAGACAATGTTGTAAAAATAACAAACCTCTTAAGGGAGACATAGAAGGGACAAAAGTAGCACTTGAATATTGCGCCCGGCCTAGAAAAGTGTTGTTCTCTGTGGTCTCCCATCTCAGCAGCAGAGTCACATGTAAAGGGGCACTTGCCACAGGCACTTATTGTATCTGGAACAAAGTAAACCCTCCTGATTCACACAACACATGTTGATCGATATGGCAAATATAACTTTAAAACTTAATCCCTTCTAACGCAAAATATCCTGAAAATGGAGTTTGTGCTCCTCTCCTCCACAGAGACACCTCAACAGATACATCTACACAGATGATGATGATGATGAGAGCAATAGTCGTTCATGTTACCGACTTTCAGCTTTTTATGCAAGAGGATGCAATGTCTGAGTGCATATTGCATCTCTGACACTACCAACTCGTTACCTATGTTGCTGGGGTCAACACTGAAAATTGGTGGACAAATTTAATTTTACTTCGTCCTGGTCAATATAATCGCAACTCTACATGAAGCTTAGATTGAACTGGATTTCCTCAAATACGGCTCATCATGCAAAACCAACGTAGGTTACATCTCATTATCTACAGGTTTTATTTGAAACATTTTATGTGATGATAATTTACAGAATTACAAGGAAAAGAGTCTCTTTATATTCAGTATTCTTTGTGCATACCCTGAATAAAAGCAGTTCATGACTTGTAATAATTGCAGTTTCTTACACATTTTAAAAACATTTGGTGCCACGGGCAAGGACAACCGTGCAGGGCATGAAAGCCATTTTGCCAGAGAACTACTATTTATACCAAACCAGAATAAAAAGAGATTCATTCTATGTTTAGCATCAATCTTCAACACCGAACTTAATCAAAACCTCCTGGAAACGAGTAGAAACAGGTGGAAAAGCCAACAGCTACCAGTTACGGTTAAAAATCTACAAACTTTACAATATAATTTTTGTATAATGTATTAATAATGAAAAAGTACCTGATCCTTCTGGTATTTCTGGATAAGTTGGCAGATCTGCCTCACCGATGCCAGCACCAATCGTGAAATGCTCCTCCACAGTACCACCTTCTTTAAGGCCAATCACCACCCTCACATCACCACTGTGCTTCAACCGGCAGTGTCTCTGTACATAGAAAACTTACCATTAACGAGACATGTGTAGCCACTATCATACTGCAGACAAGCCAGAGTCCAACGAACATGACAATGAATCTTTGGGTTTTATAAAGGGCAAAGAATGTGATCAGTTAAGCGACTGTTAGCTTGTATGATTTGAGGTTCTCACAGCGGTGGGTATGAAGATTTCTGTCTTCTGGGTTGTTGCGCTGTGTAGTCTGGTTGATGTTAACCAACGTTTCAGAGGTCATACTGCCTCCGTCATCAGGGTGATTCGCCCTGATGACGGAGGCAGTATGACCTCTGAAACGTTGGTAACCATCGACGAGACTACTCAGCGCAACAACCCAGAAGACAGAAAGCTTTGACTGGTAGCTTCTCAAGAAGAACTCTATCCAATGCAGTTAGGTGGTTGATTGGTACAGGAAATATTGGGATGAGATAGGGAAATGTGCTAATTATGGAACAAAGAAAATTATGTAACAAGGAACATAATAAATTATTCTCTTCTACCAGCACTGTTATAATAATCAGATCAAAGCCATAAAATTGACTGGGCATGGGGCATTTGTGTGAGGTAATCAAACACATATACATTTTGTAGAAGAATCTTTTGAATGATCTAACTCTGAAAAAAAGAGGTGCATAAAAGAGAATAATATTAAAATGCATCTTATGTAAACAGACTGTGGTGGTAGAGATGAGAAAGAATTGGCTCATAATAGGTTCAATGGTTTTTACTCATTTCACTAAAAATAATGCAACACTCAGTTGGTAAAATTCTGAAAATATAACCCTATTAGAGATGTAATCGGTCATTCAGAAATTTTTTACACACACTCAAGTTACCCCACAGAGATCCCTATTTAGTATGCAGACAGTCGACAGGTTTTAAAAATCAACTAAGGAGAAATAATGTGGACTAAATTACAAACAAACAAAAAACATTCTGAAAGAAGCAAAACAAAACACTGAAGAAAAATACCTGTTAGTCTTCAAGATCAAACTTTCAGTTTGTGACCATAAATTTGTCCATGTCACTTTATACAATAAAAAACAGTTACCACCTACATTAAATACTTAATTATAAGATTTGAGGTTTTCACAGCAGTGAGTATAAAGATTTCTGTCTTCTGGGTTGTTGCGCTGTGTAGTCTGGTCGATGTTAACCAACGTTTCAGAGGTCATACTGCCTCCGTCATCAGGCCGATCGCCCTGATGACGGAGGCAGTATGACCTCTGAAACGTTGGTAAACATCTACCAGACTACACAACGCAACAACCCAGAAGACAGAAATCTTCATACTCATCGCCCTGATGACGGAGGCAGCATGACCTCTGAAACGTTGGTTAACATCGACCAGACTACACAGCGCAAGAACCCAGAAGACAGAAATCTTCATACTTATCGCCCTGATGACGGAGGCAGTATGACCTCTGAAACGTTCGTTAACATCGACCAGACTACACAGCGCAAGAACCCAGAAGACAGAAATCTTCACTTAATTATAAGTTAATAATTGAGGCCTCCCCTCAAATAATGCTGTAAGGCACTTTTCTACATTTCTAGTGAAGCTTCTTCCCTGCTTTTGCAATCAATCTTTTGCTGTACATCATCATTCCAGGGTCAATTTCAGATTTGCTGTACTGTTATAATACCATTATGTAACTTCCATTCACAAATCTGTTACCCTGGAAAAACGCTCTAGATAACAAAGTTGTGTGCCAAAAATGGTGCATCTGCATCTAGAAATGAATTATATATGTGAAACAGAATAAGTAAACTAACCACCTTCTGATACTTGAAGACTGTTATATGTGCCTTGCTTTGCTAATGCATTCATATTATAAAAAATTAAAATAATATCGCTCATCAATCAGTAATCTGATGTAGTTTCTTATTCTGTAACAAGTTGCAGTGAATAAGTGAGATCTGAAAGGCAGTGTTATGGAATGTACTGGAATAACAACATTTCTCATTTGTGTAATCTCTACGAAAAAACATATCTACTGACCAAATAAAAGATATATATTGATATGCATGTTATCTTCTGTATCATCCTCAATTCTACCGGTTAATAACCATTCACTCCTGCTATAGCCACAAGCACCGAGTCCATTCAGTACATCAACACTCAGCCGGCTTGTTGCGGGATCTCATATTTACAGTTCTAGTTATGATTTTCCAGAGTTTCCCAAACCACAAGTTATTCCTTATAAACAATATAGTGTCATAACGTAGTATTTAAAGTTACATTATGTACACACAATACAAAATCAACAGAAAACATATAGACAGAAAGAAAAGTGTAGGATGCTAACAGCTGCAACTTTAAAATAATTTTTAGTATGCAACAGTCTCCAAGCTCACAGCCTTGAATTTGCAAGAGCACACTTACATTCAGACTGCACTCACGTGTCAATATCCACTTCGAGTTATAAAGAGAAAAACAGCATGAAGGGGAAACACAAAATCAGACGTAGAATATGATTCAGCTGACGACTATCAATGGGTTAAAGTAAGTTATATGTAATTATAATAAATATAAGTCCAAATGCTGTGGCAATGTCATGAAGCACGAGTACACGATTCAGCAAAACGCATAATAGAACAACAACAAAACAGTTTTAAGCCACGATAATACTTATACACATTTCAATCAATAGCCGTTATTCATGCATAGGAGAGGTAAATAATTCCCTGCCTTCCATGGACGAAATTCTTAAAGTATATCTTCTCGAATAAAATTATGTTCAACTGCAGAATTATACTAACATACGAAATGACTAGCTTCAACAGCTGACAACGTAAGAAATAAATTAAGGAATCAAGAACTACAGATTTAGAACCAACAGTCCTCAGCAATAAAACTATGTACTAACTGCATTAAGAACAAAGAAACCAACATGAAACTTCGAAGAAAATTCTAGTTGGAAAATTGTTATATACAAACTTTGTTTTCTTGCTGTAAATGACTAATATCATCACTGATCATGCTTCACAGAGAGCTCATCCCATGCAGTTAGTTGTGAAAGTGGTTAGTTGTACCTGGATGACATGCTTCCAGTTTGATACCTGACGGCAGTGGCCGCACCGGAAAAGTGCGTGGCCCCGCCTGACACTTGCCTCGGCTGAGTTGCTGCTGCCAGTACCACCGCCACTGCTGGCCTGCTGTAGACGCTGCTGGTAATGCTCCTTCACGTGTGCTAGCACCAGTTCTCGACTTGCGTCCCTACAGTAAAATCGCAATATTTTTAACGGCATGTTACATGAAGAATTTGAGGTTTTCACAGTAATGTGAATACAGATATTACATCTTAAAAATATTCAACTTTGGATACAGCCAATTTTTATAACAATTGAAGAAAATATATAGAATCAGAACTATTTAAACTCTGATGACAGCGACAGATCACATATTCTTCGATAATCATACAACTCAGCACAACAGGAAATTATAACCATGTCTACAAGTTCTACATATCTGAAAGTAGAAACAAAATGCAATATTACTGTTGATGGCTTCATTTTCAAATGTCCTATTCAATATAATTTCGAAGTATTTTCACGATGATCAACAATATATTACCGAACCTCAATTCTTAGGACTGAAAGGTTGAATGCAGAAACACCTGGAAATGGTGAGACTTCATGATTCCAGCATAAAAGATACAAATCAAGACACGCATACACAAACAACAATTTGGTTTCTCACCTGTAGTTACACTTCTTACACTTCCAGAGGGTTTTCTTACTGTCTGTACTTGGCCGCTTGGTTGGCGGTTGGCCCTCGGAGCCACACTCTGATTTCACTATAAGTCTCTTCATTGCACGTTTGGGTCTCACGTCCAGGTCCTGCTGCTGCTGCTGCTGCTGTTGTTGTTGTTGTTGTTGCTCCTGCTGCTGAAGCTGTCGCTGCTGCTGTAGCAGTGCTGATGGCTGTGGTTGCAAAGGCGGAGGACCTGGGAACACCACGTGGTGTGCTGCTCGCAGGGGTGGTGGTGGTCTGAGTGGGACACCCGGGCCCAAATGATGAACGCTGCTCGAGACGGGAGTAGGGGCTCGGGTTAGACGAGGTGGAGCAGGCAACTGCTGTTGCAAAATGTTGGCATTGGGATGCACCGTCATAGCCTGGCTCATGTCAAGACCCTTCGAACGTCGTCCGCTCCCACTACTCTCGGCTGTCGGTTCGTGGACTCGCATTAGCGTCAAATATTTGTTGTATTTTGAATAGTTTCTCCTTCCTGTTTCATCTGTCATCAAAACTCTCGCCCGCTCATGACTTGCGTCTCTTGCAGACTTCAGACGTATGTGCTTGGTAATGTCCCACCTCCAATTTGAACGGTAAGCACAGAGCGAACATTCAAATGGCTTCTTGTTTAAGTGACCCACTATATGAACATGGAACCGAGATGCAGTGGATGCCCAAAATGAGCAGTTTGGGCATTTAAAAACCTGCAAGTGACACAAAAAATTATTCTTAAATTCCACAACAGAACATATGAAGCTTGCTAAACTTAACTTAGTCCAACAAGATGAAGTGGCTCCAGTTTAAGGAATTCTGTTAACAGATTAATTCAAGTCCCTGTTATATTCTGTATGATTATCAATGTGCAGCATTCCGAGGCTTCGAGCTATATAGAAAAGTGACACAGGAACCATTGTAACATTACAAGACTTTGGTTATTCTTGTATCAAAGTTCACTGCATCAATTATTTCAATTTTGATAAGTAACAGATGTAAACTGTGAATTTTTTTCCTTCATTTGGAGACCGACTGAATCATAGGTTATGAACAATCTGTGATATGAACAAATGAACAGTAATCACAGTTATTCCAGAAGATAACAATGGTGAAAACTGAGCAAATACTCGAGTCTTTATCAAGAAGCCAAAGTGTGTTAAATATTATTACACATCACACACTGAACTTGCAGTGGTGACTACTAAAAGATATCTTCTGTTACATTCTGAAATTTCTGTGAAAACAATGTTTACTTTATAACTCTTACCAACATAATAAGACCTGGGTTATCTTAAGTCAGTGTAATCTCCATGAACACTCCGAACAATTAAACAATTATCAGTTTCTCGAGAGGGACTCTGCTGCAGAAATTGTTTAATTAAATATGGTATGTAAATTCGTCACATATGCTCTATTAAATTTCTCACATAAATTATTAAGATTTCCAAATGAACATGTGTCTGACATAGCACTCCTGCATTCTGCAAAGCATATTTAAAATCATAAACTTTACCTTCTTGACGGTTAATGGAACTTTACAATCCACATCAGGAATAACTCCGTCTGGAGAATCTGAAGGAACTTTGCTTGTAACAGCACCATACCCTGGGGCTGTTTCAATGCCAACCAGGCTACCCTCACTGATCGGTGACTTGCTACGAACAGATGTGTCAAGGCTATCATCATCTTGTTGCTGTGCAAACAGAACTTGCTGCAGCGGTGATGTCTGTTTCTGCTGTTGCTGTTGTTGTTGTTGTTGTTGTTGCTGCTGCTGCTGCTGCTGTTGTTCCTGTTCTTCCTGTACTTGTGGCTGTGACTGGCGATCCTCCTCGCTCTCCGTCTCCATTGGCTGTGGTAGATTATTCCATACAAACACTTTATTCTCCATTGGGTGTGGTTCCTCCCCTTTCACTCTCTCCTCTTCTTCATCATCGTCTTCTTCATCTTCAACATTCTCCATCTTATTTTCTTTGGCAATTTCTGTTAAAGGTGCAGAAGGAGAAGCAGAGGAAGGAGAAGTTTCCGCAAGATTTTTATTAGCTTCCAAACAGGACTGTAGGTGTATCACTAGATCTGCACTAGTCTTGCAACGCTGACGACAGTGCTGACATCTGGTAGAAGAAAGTTCTGTGCAACTAGCCAACACTACACCACTACTTCCATTAACCACGGTGCCATCATTGCTGCGGTTTCCAGGGCTGGTATGCAACTTCTGGTGACGAGCTAGTTCAGACAGACACTTTGACTCATGCCCACAGCAAGTACACACCAAATTACAAGACTCCCCAGCACTTACCAACAGTTTTTCTTTCAGTTTATCAAAGAAGGAAGCATTCTTCTTTTTGAATGATAAATCAGGTATAGATGATAAAATGTCAAGTTTAGATTGTAGCTGACCATCACCGCGTGCAACCTCATCTTCATCACAATCATCTTCTTCCCCCTGCTTCGGAGAAGACTTCTTTGGTAACTCATCATCCACCTCATCATCTGGTAACCTAAAAGCATCTTCACCTCCTATGAGAGACGCAAAGTCCTTAAGTGAACTGTTGGGACAAGATTTAGCACAGATTTCATTCAGATCCCGCTCACTCATGCTGCTTTCTTGTTGAGATGTTTGTAGCTGTTGAGGTTTCAGTAGAGAAGTAACAGCTCGACCTCGGACTGTGGGGATCCTAAGTATTGGTAACGACGCGACAGAACTAGGAGGTACAACCTTGTTTTGTATGGGTATCAAGTTAGGAATTGGACGAGGAACCTTTTTGGTTGCCTGTTTGACAGCAGCTGCCCGATGGATACCATGTGCCTTGCTTTCATGCCGAGCCATTTCGCCTTCCCACGCCGCCTTATAGTTACACATACGACACTTCAGGTTCTTGATGTAAACATTCCCATTTTTATGATGGATAATATCATCTGGGTGTATAAAGTCTGTCTGAAAGTTATGCCTCTCATTCTGTTCCTGGCTGCTAAGAGTTTTCAGCTTCTTAAGCGTCACTTTAATCTTTGGAGTCCTCCTGGTGTTTCCAGCTGGAGTACTGATGGAGTTTGATCTACTGCAGTTACCATTACTGCTAATGCTATCAGTGTTTAGAGAGGTTATGTTCTTGTTCTTGTTCTTGTTCTTGTTACTGCTGTTACCAGACGCTGAAGTTGTAACAGCAAAACCTGATGGCTTTGTGCCTGGTGCCTGAAAGAAGAACATCATAAAAGAGAAGTATTCTTAGCAATTATCTGGTTATGTTTCAATGAATTTACTAGACATCAATATTATGAATGTCAGAAAACCAAAGTCTTTGCAAAATTTTGGTGCCTAACTACATTACTGGCAATCAATAAAATTAATTAGTTAGGGCAAAATGTTTATTTTCAGCAACAGCACTTACCTTTTAATTCTAGAAATGTTGTACTAAACAAGACAAAGTAATAATCATATTAAATACAGCACTTACCTTTTAATTCTAGAAATTTTGTACTAAACAAGACAAATTAATAATCATATAACACTGTTACTCAAAATTTAACTTCTGTAGTTGAGGCCATGGTGGGCAGAGATGCAGAGAACATTCCGAGTCTAATTATATGAGCTGCAATCACACATCTTTAAAATTATCTTTTGGGCTACTGTCCTAGAATTTGCCTGGAATGATTCTCATATCTAGCCTTGGGTATTAACATCTGCACTGATTCAGACACGTCGTGCAGGTATTTTAAAACCACATGTCATAAATCACTATTACACAAATCTAACTCAAATACAACGTGTCTGAACTCCAAAGAAATGTAAGTGCAATCTAATAAATGAACTTCAAGGGACAGAGGCCACCTTGTAAAGCTTATAGTCACTCAACTGGTCAGGAAATTCTCAGCCCTTCATTGGTCCCTATCCGAAGCCAGTTTAATCAGTCCCCCAAACCCTCATATACACTCCTTATATATTATCCTCCCATCTAAACCTTTGTCCCCGAAGTGGTTTCTACCCTTTAGGTTTTCAGACTAAAATATTGTATGCATGTCTCATCTCATACTCACTGACTTTCTCACTTTAATAATAAAATAGTAATGAAATTTTGTAATTATCTCCATTCTTGTGTTTCTTCCTGTTTATGTCCAAATATTTTCCTCAGTATTCTGTTTTCAAATACCTTCAAATTTCATACCAATGTTTCTACACTTCAATTTTTAGGTTATTAGACAAGAGACAAGGTAAGATATTCTGAATGGAAAGATATAACTGCAATCACTTAATTAAATGCAGTGTTGTATGCAATACACTTTAAAACGTTTGCCACATAATAGTTTAATTTGTGTTCATAAAATTAACTATCAAATGACCTCATAACACATTAGAGACTTCATTTGTGTCACAGACAAAGTTAAACTCATGTAAGGTAATATTCATTGTTGAAATTGGCAGCAGTGAAGGACCAAAGTTACTGTAAATGTTGTATGAAGGTCATTCTGAAACTTCGACATTAAATGGCTTGTCACAGCACATGTTAAAGTATGTCCTACGTTAATTCTTCAGTAATTTTAACTTGATAAAAGTTGTTTTGCTTAAATTGAAGGGATCACAGAAACATTCTACGTTTCTGGCAGCAATGCTTTGGTAAGGACCCAAATCAACAGCATTTTCATTGCCTTAAGCCCATCTTACACATTACCAAAGAAATGTTACATTAAATTGCCACTAAGCCAATCTGTAACTGTCTTAGAATCACTTTATTTTAAGTCCACCAGGCAAGAAAGTAGAAATTTCTCATACAAGGCTTGCAGCCTTTTGTCAGATTCAAATTGCACATATGTGTAGCTCCTATATAGTATCCGCTGCCTATATACAGTAAAAGTAAAAAATATATTAACTGAAGAGTTGTGCTGCTCAATGGACTTGGGACTGGGGATGTATTTTTACTTGTGTGGAAAGCATGATGCCAATATCATAGGACAGAATGTGGTTCCTCTGAATTCGTGAGACACTACGATACCTAACATGAACCCAATGCTAGGAAGTACCAGTCTTGCCACTTGCATTATCCAGTAACAATTTCGTATCTGGCATCAGATACTAGAGGGACTGTCTCTTAACATCAGATCTTCGACTCTTTCCAGGTATGTACCAGGTCGTTCTGTCGGGTAAACATAAAAAAAAGATATGGGACAATTTCTCTGGCATGACAAAAGACTCATCATGTGGTACAACATCCCTTACCTGGAATGGAGGGGCGGAATCTGCTGCGTCTTCCCTCTCCATGCGCAACAGCTCCAACTCCTCCTGGTCAATCTCCTCTTCCACAGCCGTAGAGTCGCTTGCGCCCACCTTGTTCCGGCGCCGTCCTGTCCCCGCACCACCCCCCGCCAATATGGGCTGTCCAACTGGGGGCACGTGGTGGTTCATTTCATGTACAGTGAGGCTCTGCTTGATATCGGCCGTGAAGTTACAGAGAGCACAGCGAAAGGCCCCATCCCCAGTATGATTCTTGTAGTGACGATCCAAGTTCCACTTGTATGGCGTGCGGAAGTCACAAAGATCACACTTGATCATAGGCATGGAATGGTACTTCACGTGCTTCGTGTACCGAGCCTTCATATGAGTCACGTAATTGCACTTACTGCAACGGTAGAATTTCTTCTTGAGATGCGCAGTGCGTTCATGTTTCAACACTTCACTGGGGTTCGAACTCGTGAATGGGCACAAAGAGCATTCATGTACGTCCCCTCCACCCACCTTCGCACCGATGTTTTCACTCACATTCACCATTTTAGAATCGCCACTGGACTTCTTTTCCGCTTGCTTTGCGCTCACCGTCTGTCCGCTGTTCCACAATTTCGATTTCGATACCTCGCTTTTCTTTCTCTTGAAGCCAGCGGCAGCTCCTCGACCTATCACGTGAACCATGTGCACATGCCGCTGCAGCTTTTGACTGTGCTTGGACGCGTACAGGCAGCTAGGGCACTCGTACACTTTGATCTTCTCCCCGTGTTCGTCCTTGAGATGGTATAGGTAGGAGCGCGGGTTTTGTGTATAGTAAGTACAATGAGAACAAGTGTAGTTTCGCTTTATCTTGCACTGGGGCAAATCAGTATCGTCTTCACTTTCTTCGTGTATAGACTCCCCGGTCACCACACTTCTCACCACGAGGGTGTCACCGCTTCGATGCACCATAGATGGTGAGGACATGATGCTCACATCTGAAAACAAAAGGTATCGACAGAAATTAATATTATCCTCCACGATCGATTATTTCAAAGTCGATCCCGATTAAAAAAACAAATGATGGCAGTCCTGAGTTGTCCACTTCCAAATTCGAAAGTTAAAAGTTCTCATTAGCTTTGTTAACAAAGTAGCCGAAAGAAAGGATATTTAAAGCTCTGGACGAGATTCGAACTCGTGACATTAACGAATGTCGCTGTAAGCACTCTGCCGTCCTCAACTCTCGAGACGGCAACAGCAATTATCGATCCGTGGTCGATACAACCGTGGAGGTGGAAAGGCAACACAGCACGTTCTAAGCCTCTGGTAGGTTGAGCCAAAATTTCGAAACAATTTCCACATCAGTTCAGTTCCGTCTTATGAAAACTCCCACCTAAAACTATTCACCTCAAGGGAATACGATGTACTCTGCCCTATTAGTCCCAGTTTCTGTCTTTTCTGCCTAAAAGTCTTCGCTACGACTTCATTATTTTTCTCTCATACACGAAGTAAGCGAGAGAGATGATCAGCTGTTTGTTCCGTCCGCTGATTCGTGTCTTCTGAATTTGATTTTCCGTGACTTGTTTGTCCCTAGATAGGTTATCCTCTTTGTGCTTCTCGCGGTTACATCAGACACACGTGATAAACTACTTGCTAATTAAACTCGGCTAAGACCTCGCAATCCACCATTGTCATCTAACACTACCCTCAGAAAAAGTGCAACATTAAACTGAAGTCCCAGTTCTTGGTCGCAACACGACTGGACTACTACGTAACAAAGAGATGGTTCGAGTCGACAGCCGCTCAGAAGCTTCCATCGCAGGCAATCAATAGCTGGCTGGCTGGCTGGTCGCCTCGCCCAGAACCAACCTACCTACACAGCTCGGCCTGCTCTTGGCTGCCTTCGCCAGAACTGGATGCGCGTGCTTGTTCCAATTTTATCCCGTCATTCGGCGGGGCGGATGCCTGACTAAGATGGCTGCTGCTGTCACCACTGCTGAGGAGTGACGCCGTCCAAAAACTTTGACCCTTTGGCCCCGTACCAGAGTCTTGCAACTTAACAGTAACGAGGAGCTAGCTGCCTGTATTGCTCTCACTTGCCAAATCTCCTACGAACAGCTTCCTTAGCTAGTAGCTGCTAGATGCAGTAATAAGTCTGAGCTTTATTGTGAGGTAAAGTTATAGCTGCCCCTGTTAGTACGCGACACGCGACGTAGGTAAAGCTATCTAGAACTACACGAAGGTCAACTTCAAGTTGCGGCCGCATTAACCCCTATCCATTGGACAAGAAACTGGGCGGCCCCAGAACCGGTCCGGACATGGCAACGTTGAGATATTTCCGTGCCCCCTGCCAGGAATCGATCACCGGCCCTCAGGTCCATAGTCCGTCTCTTTATTGAATGCGCTGTTGTTTTCTTTCTTCAACTGCACTATTCAGAAGCAAGAAATTCGAAATCGATTTTTCGTTCATTTAACCAATAGCTTAGTTGATGAATTTAAGGTATTGGCTACCCTGCAGGGGATGATGAAAAAAAACAAACGAAAAACCTGCTACAGGATGATTGGCCACTGAACTGCAAAGTTCTGTTTTATCTCTCTTGACACGAACAAACCATGCTAGGTTTTACTCGGATTCTCCAAGCAGGTTACACACTCACTTCAACATCGTCTGCAGCAAGAAACAGACATGCCCCATCATACCGCTTCAGTATAAAGCAAAATTACAGGGAAGACACGTCATTATCTAAGAGACACGTGACTACTGCAGAGTCCTACTTCCAAGAAGGCTGACTGATCCCTGACATGGAGCTATCGCGTTGAAGAAACAAAGTGTAAGTTCACGACGACGACGACGACTCTATCCTAAAATCAGACAGTAATTCGGCTTCTTTTTTCAACAATAACCATTTTGAATTTAACCATTTCCATGCTGAGTTTTGGCAAAGAAAGTGGTCTTAGAATCTTTTCATATGCAGATTTACCTGTTGAGAGACGTCAGAAGAGTTATGTCACCAACCTTATTACACATTAAAACACAAATACATTCCAGAATAGCTAGCTTCGCCATGCGAAATATCTCTGTGTTGAAGGGTTAAATTCCATTTTCATCAACCCATTGTCAGTTGGCCTTACAACAAAATCCTACGAGTAACTATACCACCACACCCACCACTAAACATCTGCTTAATTCTATTTGAAACGAAAATGAAAAATAAATTCACTGTTGATAATTTCAGTCGATGTGAGTAGCAACTCCATGGAGCAGAGACGTACATGAGAAACTTGTCTAGACATCAAATTCCCTCAATTTTATGAAAAGCGAAGGTTCGCTGTCGTGTTCCCAACAGCCTTCTATTGGACCCTACTCTCAAGTCAGACGAATTCGTCCACAACTTTCACATCCTAATTCTTCAAGTATCTTAGGTTTTACAAGAAGGCCCATAACCTTCGTCTCTCAGATGGTCTTTTACGACTACAATTTTTTTATACATTGTCTCTCAAATGCGTACTACATGCTCCGTCCATCTGATCCTCGTCGATCTTCCTAGCGATAGTAAAGAGTATGTCTGCCTTTCTTTTTCCTAGCTTAAAGCATTTATTCGTAATAGTTAATGAAGGGAATGAATTTGATTGTTAAGTCGGTAACAGGAAGAGGGCTTCTTTGCCTGGTGCTAAGCCCACACGTGGGATCTAACCAATGAAATAAACACCAGTCGGGCATTCGTACACACGAATCCATCCTGTGTTTTCATCTGAGCGTATCGTATGTGGAACTTTAGATGCAGTTCAGGACCACAGACGCTAATTTAAAATAATAACTTATTTTCTTTTAAATGATAAAGCTGTCTTCAACTGAGGTGAAAGTAGTTAAATTGTAACATTTCGATTTTTTTCCTGTTCAGATCATAAAAACATTAGTTTTTAGAAAGAATCTAGGAGAAAACCTTCACTGGTCCAGCCATAATACCTCATTCTGAAAACGCATCCCGAACGGAAACACCGAAGTAGAATTTGAGATTCTCGTGACTGTGAGTACGAAAATGGCTGTCGTGTGTGACAGACGAATACGTTCTTCGCCCAAACATTACGATTTTAAAATTATAATTTTCCTAACGGTTCACGTTAAAACTACGAGATTTGAGAATCTCACGGCGGTAAATATGGCAGGGCAGTTGTAAATCGAATTGTGTGCCACCAAGCTTAAACGTGACAGTGCTTCAACCTGGACCTCAAACGAGCAAGGCAGAAGATGGCCCTGCAGAGGGAATACCTAATTTACCTGTCTTCTGAGTTGTTTGCATCGTGTTGTCAGATCGCCCTGAAGAAGGCAGCAAGGATATCTGAAACTGTTGCAAACTTCTACCAGACTGCGCTGCAACCCAGAATACAGTCAACTTCGGAAGCAGCCAACTTTGAGAACACCAAATAAGTTTAAGAAACAACTTCCTGTAAGCAGAATCGTTTTGGCTGTATTCTGCAATTTTCGGGGTCAACTACATCAATTCGATTTTAATAACTACACATTATAAATACATATAACATATATCATTCAGCACTAGCCGAAGAACAGACAAAACTAATATCAGTATCACGCTCTATTCTGATAGAGAGACGAGCTAAGCCACGTGTGATTTGTTATCTTTTAGGTATGTGTCCTTCAGAATCTCACAAAGAGGAATCATGTTTACCTTTATCAGGTTTTTCTTGGTTCTAATAAAGTGAATGTTGCGAACAGCTAGAGCCACAGTTCAGACCGACACATTTTAAGGAAAGACTATTATATATTCCGACAAAGTGTAACAGTGGTAAACAAAAGTTGACAGTGGAACCACGGTTCCGGAGAATCTGACGTAAATACGTCTCTGTAATGTAATATAATGAAATAATTCTTGGTGGTCTAGCGGTTAGAACGCTGGCCTTGTAATCCTGGGGTCTCGGGTTCGATTCCCGGCGGTGCCCGAATTTATAACTTGTGTTGGGCAAGGCCGTGGTCTAGGCAACACGGAGTTTTCCTCCGGGGGCTTCCCCGGTTTCTCCGTGGCATCCCAACAATTACTCCATTCACACACAGAAGAAGGCAATGGCAAACCACTTCTGGATCATCTGCCAAGAACGTATATGAACAGGTCCCAGTCCGAGAAAAGGATGGAAAGATCCTGTTCATATGGACCTGTCGTCAGACAGAACACTAAATAAATATAATAAATAAGTACCTGTGATATTCTAAAACGTTTCTACCAGCACAAAATTATCTATTCTACGACGCACTTCTACAAACGATTCACAGCTCAGCTCTTTCGGCAATAACGAAAGCGGATTGTTGACGGCAGTAATGTAACACAACTATGCCGAATAAACAGATGTCGTAACAATTAGTTTCTTAGATAACATAACTATTGTTAATATGGATCTTACACATTTTCCTAACGCTTTTTTGCCGAATGACCCTTCCGTATAGACGTACTTACGTCAAAAAACAAAATGGTGATGTCGCATAGTAACACGTCCTTGTAATGATTAGTTCCGTTTCTCACCACACCATTCGTTTTGGTCGAGATATATGGTAACTTCTTCCCAGTACCTACATTTTGTTACCTGCACTGTTCGGGAAAGCGTCACTCGACAAGAGCTCACTTCTATTAGAGCCTGAAAGGCAAACTTGAAAAGGGACGACCTTTGCAGAGGCTACCGGGTACAGGAAATAAACAAGATTGTAAGGAAACATCGTTAACCTTTTCTTGGTGGGTCAAAAACTGTTGTGATTAGTTAGCACACAATTAGTTGGACATTAGCAACGTATAACGGGCTTAAAGACGAGCGAAATCACCCTGATGATGAAAGCCGCAGGGACCACGGAAACGTTGGTAAACTTCTACCAGACTATAAGGCGCAATATCACAGAATTCATCTTATCCTGTAAGTACCTCTCTCTTTGGCCAAAATATTCACCTCGGCACCATTTTCAAATATGTTCTTCCATTTGGGGGGAGACACCAAATTAAAACAACAAAGTAACTCGATGAAGGGCACGCATTCTTAAGTAGCTGACAGTCGCCAGCTGAATAAGAAACTCTTCGCCGAAGATTCATTACAGTCCTCACAAGAGACTGCTACTGACCAAATCCAAAGCCCACATCTTCGCACACTATTTCCATTGGGACCATTTTGAAAATTGCCTCCCATACAAAACAAAGTCTCTCCAGTGTTCTGCAACTCACAATAATTCTTTTGTTTGTCAGTGCCTATCCCCAGACAAATGTTCCTTACACCGTGTTCTCATATTACAACAAGCTTCAAGTAACAGAAGCAACACACGGACAATAGCGTTTATATTCAGAGTAGAATTATCCGAAAGTCTTCTCAACATCAACGCTTCTAGGCAGACGTAATCTACATCGCAGTTTCGCAAGAACGACAGAAGGCAGTCCGTTGGTGTGGCTCGTTGAAACCTTGAGGCGGAAGTTAACCTCCACCTTGTGAACAATGTGCTGGAATCCTAATGAGCAACCACTCGATCATTCTGATAAAGAAATGAAAGCAACTTAAGATTTCAGGGTCTCACGACGACGACGACGACGAATACGAAGATGGCTGTCTGCAAGAACCAATATGAGGTGTAATGACTTAACTGCTGATAAACTAAGTTAAAAATCAAAGAGACACAGAGGTAATCTGTAAAGTCCATTACAAATACAGCTGTGAAGTCGGAACTGGCTTGGGCATAGTTCGTGCAAGCCAGATGACTATTGTTAGTGCGTTCGACGTTGTCATCATCTCATGTACTGGCCTGCGCTTACACACGCGTAAGTTTTAAGAGCAATCAGAAGAGTATGGATCGATTTTTATATCGACTTCCAGTACAACATTTCAGAATCTACTACATAACCCTGAGAAGAAGCATACAAACGACCAGTCGATTGCTTCATACTAACTGCATGGAGCACAGTCCTCCTGGAGAAACTATCAGTCGCTCAGCTAGTCAAAAAACTTCTCACTTTTATGCAAACCAAAGTTTCAAAACCGTGTTCATAAATAACCAGATGCCGGTGCCTGTCCTGGGTCAAATGAATCCAATCCACCCTCCTACAGTATAAGAGATCCAATTTAAGTAACACCCTGTCTGTCTATTCCAAGTGTTATCTTCGTTCTAATGTTCCGATCAAATTTTGTGCGCATGTCTTCCATGTGGCTACATACCATCGCTAAAATCAGTGGTCTTGAATGTCGCACCTAGCCCAATGACAAATGAGGAAATCTGAAACCCACGACAAGGCACGCCTGACGTCTGCAAGCCCAGGACGCTGTAACACCTCATGAGTCATCCAGTGTCGGGGTCCACTGTACTATTTCCTGCTCGCGATAACGAATGATAACAAAGATCTTGCGTTCGGTAACTACTCAGGCTAAAAAATCCGCAATCAGTTTGCAACTGAACACAACGACCAGTACACTACGAAGGCCAACAGTGAATGGCCAGTGGAAGGAATGTCTTCTGATATCGATATATCGATAAGATACAACATCGTAGTAAAATATTCAACAATATACAAATTTATCGTAATCGCTCGATACTTTCATTTTTTACAGTGTTGTTGAGAACAAATTTAATGCCTGCTAAGAAATTAATGCATTTCCTACTACAACTAAAAATACGTTTATTCCGTGTCAGCGATGGATAAGGAAGAACACAGGTAATACGATATTCAACTCGATTTCAGTGACATCTAAACAAAACGTTTTTCAGTTAGTGGTGGAACTTCACATTGCGATGTAAACTCATGTACGACATTTCATAAAACAAACAGTGACAATAAAATGCTTTAATACTGACGTTAATTAGGTACTGCAACAATTACACTTGTTCTGCCCTAAAAAAAAGATTCGATATCGATACCTCCAATATCGATATGAAATTTAATATCGACTGACATCCCTATACTTATGGGCTCGTTACGAGTACAAGGACACTTACAGGAGAGAAAATTCTTCTGGGTCTATCCGTATTTAATATCGGGGTTTGTCACCATTTCATGCATTTCTTCCGCACTTTCGCTTAATATGGCTACAAGTATCTGAAAAGAAAGTGCCGAGAGAAATACTAAGTCCTATGAAAGATGAACAAACGTAATTCGTGACATGAGCTTGGGTATTGAAAAACCTGGTACTGTTTACGTGCAAATCGATGTGGATAATGAACGTCTCATGAGATTACGAACAGCTATTTAATGTGGCAAAAATATGGGAGCAAGGAATGCTTATGCAATTATTGTGGGGAAAGCCACTTGAAAGACCGAGAAAGATATTAAGATGGATGATAAATATATCTTGGAGGCGAAGGTTATGAAGATTTTAAGGAAGCAGCTCAGAACGGGGCCCCAATAGCGGACTTAACCTTCGGGTTCTGCACCAGTTTGTTGGTTAACTCTTTTAATGATCATTGTTAACTGCATGTACCACCTGCTTTAACAATAAATGACTCTGCGCTTTGTCCACAGTATAATTCTGAGTATGATTCTCAGCATAAACGCTGATTACTACCCTGAACAGCATTAACCGACCGATCATCTTCATGATGCAGACGTGGTTGGGCGCGAATGTTTGCCTCTTCAGACAACACTGATCTTCAAGGAGTTAATAAAAAGTTCCAATATACTTGACTGACTAAGCTATCCGGCTTCAAAGTCCATCCACGATGATCGTTTTACTTAGCACCTCATCATATTTTCAACCCTTCGCGGGGGCAGCAAAGCTTTACGAGAGAATCGAAAGTTCGACTCCTGGTGTCGAGGTGTAGGCTCCTCTCGCAAGGGACACTGTTGATTATTGATTACTGCCCCTCCACCCCACCCCCGGTCAGTCAGAGAACGTAACGCTGCTTCAAGTCTGGAACACAACTTTGGCTTGCTAGAGCGTGGCAACATGAGAGGATGTGAAGATGCCTTCAACCTACAGCAGGAAACAAACACTGCCTGCTGGCTGCTGTCTCTTGCTTATTCAAGCTCCAATCTACGTCACCCAGCTTGCCTTGATGGTGCATTTCCTAACACTACAGCGTGCAGGCCTCGCGTTTGGCAGCTCGGATGGACCTGGGAGACTTAAGTAACTTTGTACAGAGCTTAGATGTGTTGTGGAGTCTCCTCATCGCTCGATTTAGGTACATTGCACCTTATTTCCCAGTACAAACACACAAGACAAGGTGGGAGCAACACAGACGGGGAGGGGAAAAAGAATGGAGCCATCTCCTCAAGAAACTGGAAGTCTGTCAGCTAGTCAATAAATTCCCTGTCTTTTATGGAACTTGAAGGTTCATTACTGTGTTCACAAAAGCCCGCCATGGTACCATTCATTTTAATATTATTTCAGCTAGGTCTTCCAAGTGGTATCATTCTTTCAGTTATCCCGAATAAAACTGTGTGTGCAATTCTCATCTCACCCACGCGACTCCATTAACCAAAGGGTCTTCTATCACAACAGCTGAAAGTCGTCTGCGAATCAGGTCTTGTCTGGTGAACGTCATCTTTAGCACTCAACAAAGCTGTGCCTTCCTGCATCCTCTTTCGGCGGAATCGCTTAGAAGCCACGATATTCTGGGACTGTACCCACCTCCCGTACAGCTGCCTCGACTTGGCCGGTTCCCCCGGATGAGAGAGCTGAATGTTGCTGAGACAGCTGATGCCCGACCCCCCCCCTCCCCTCCCTCTGCTCTTCTCTCATCCCTGTGCAGCATCTCCGCGAAGGTTCTACCAGCAATAGTCTGCATGAGCGAACAACAGTCACTTACCTTCGCCCAGTACGGTTACAATTATTACCGTTTCTGATGCAATTTATTCTAACCCACGCCATGATCGTTCACTATCTACCACCTCACTAGCACGTCTGCGCAAAACCAGCGTTCTAATTCTACCTTTCTCCCACATTGCAAAAGAGATCTTCTTACCCTAGCATAATTTCATTACTCTCGACGGTGTTTGATAAAATGGTAAAAAGTATCACATGTTTTGTGCATGCAACAGAACTCACGTATTGGTCTGATGATCGCACGCCGACTCACCGCTCTACACCCAGTGCTATGCACTCCGCCCAGCCGTATGTCTTCCTTCGCTATCGACTGGCTGCACGAGAGGACACGTCACAGCAGCGCCATCTTGCTGAGCAAAGCTACTCCCGATGGAAAGCCCGTCCATCCACTTGACTAATCGCAACCTCGACTTTTATTTTTGTACAGTTCCTTCGGACTTGGAACTGTACGAACTATTCTTTGTTGGACTCGTATCACGTACCAGCAACTTATTTCCTTTTATAAGAGACCCACATCGTTGAGGAATATCCCAGCCGGTAACTCTACTCGAAGGGAGACAGGACAGTGGCGACACTACTGCCATGACATCACTACGTATGCTAATGCACCAGAATTACCATTCTTACGTGCCCGAAGACAGATAACGTTGCGAAGTTTATTGCTTTTAGGACGGTCCAAATTTTAATCTCGGACGTCTGTCCCGAAAACTTTCCTAACTAGCTCCAAGAACAGAGACCTTGAAAAGCTGATAGTCTGTCAGCTAGTCAATAAATTCCCTGTCTTTTATGGAACCCGAGGGTTCATTACCGTGTTCGCTAGAGACCGCCACTGGACCACATCCTGAGCGGCTTGAATCCAATGACAATTTTTTACGATCTATTTCAATGACACCCTCCATCAAGTTCAGATCCCTGAAGTAACTCTTAAATTTATATTTTCCGACTAAAACATATGTATTCGTGATACATTATATGGGCCTTGGTTTCCATACCATCAGTCCAAATTCGGGGTCTATTTTGTCATTGTGTACCATGGAATATTTTTGCGAGAGACGCTGTTATAACCAGCCCAACTCCCAAGCCGGAAAACCACCTCTTTTCATCTGCCAGAGATTCTTATATAACACAGCCACAGCTGACATCTACATTCGAAGACAGTTTCCTCCAATCGCGTCACAACAATGTTCCATTTTATGGTGATGTACTAATATTGTGGTTCAGAAGAAAGTTTGTATAGTCGGCGTAGAAGTTTTTGGACGGTGGAGGAGCTGGCGGACGGGCCTACTCTGTGTACCTGAGGTGGCACGGTCAGTGTGTTTCTTTTGTTTGGGCGTTCAGTCCGATAAGCTCCTCGGCGCAGTCAGCATTATACTATCGCACAAGAGACTCGCTCCTAGCCTTACCCTTGAAAATTCCACCGGCCAAAAAACTACTGCGCCGACTATAAGTACATCGCACCTTCAGGAAGAAACGTCCTACGTGTTCAAAGGAATCTATTGCACGTATCCTGTTAGTTCCCTTCAGTTCTATGTTTAACCTTCACAAAACCAGTAACCAGTCAGGGTTTGAGGTTTTCAAGGCGGTGAGTACGAAGATGGCTGCCTTCTGGGTTGTAACTATGTGTAGTGTCTGGTAGAAGTTAACTGACGTTTCAGAGGATCTTGCTGCTTCCAAAGTCATGGTGATCAAATAAGAACATAAGTTCTACACTGAAAACCACGTTATTCACCGCGTCTGGAGCCACACGAAACACAAAGAAAGGTTAATTTTAACTATTTAAAGCCCAGCGGAAATTGTATGTCCTACCTGCTTCAACAACGAGTAACTCTTTATTTTGGATTTCTTTCGTATGATTCTCAACGTAAACAGTAATTATTTCATTAAACAGCATTAACCAATTGATCGTTGTAATTGAGAAATTTGTTCTCTTTGCGGCACGGACTGAATTCTTCAAATATTACACAGACGAACTTCAGCTTCAAAGGGTTGAAAAACATTCGTGCAGAATGATAATAAGTAACCTTAAGTATCTTCATTTTTACACACGGAATCCCAGATATCCTTCATCCCGCCATAGAACTATGAGTTTAAGATGGATTTTTAGACAGATGACCAACGTCTGCGATAAACCGGCGTTGCGTCCCATGAAAGACAACCATCACAGACGAAATATTCCACTGTCAGGGTCGTTCCCTACAGTTTTATCGAATCTTCTTATAACCTTCCAAGCCGAAATCACTACAAATGAAATCGGGTAGCATTTATGAACAGTAACAGTTCTGTACGATAACAAATTTACAAGCAAGATGAAATTTTACGAATACCAATTCGGAAACTTTAAAAAAATTCAAAGTATGGTAAACTACTGGGTGTTGATAAGGTGCGTTCTGAGCGAACATCGACTGTAATAATTCAATTAAATCATGGTTATTACGTAGAAAAATAATCATGAATTCTTGTTTGACTAACTGATGAATCCAGTCCACACCCTCCCGCTCTATTGCCTTCAGATCCATCCTAATATTGTCCTGCCATCTATGCCTAGGTCTACCGAGTGGTCTCTTCATTTTAGGTTTTCAAATAAACTTATGTACGCGAATTAGCAATTCTAATAATACACAGTAAAGAGTACACGCGTTGCCCTCAGATTTTGTAGGCCATGTTAATAATTAATATCTCTTAACGGTGCAAATATTAATTCGTGCATTCAATTACGATGGTCCTTTATATCTCACGAACGTTTGTTCTACGTTACTCTTCGCCTTGTGCATTGCGAAAACAAAGCAGGAATAAACACTTTTTAATTATGCTGTATCAAAAGAGATCACGGTGGTTAGAAGAGGAGAGGAAATAGCTTCATAACCTATATATCACTTCTTCACGCAGGAGATGAAAGTACAGTTTGTAAGACGCAGGCGCAGAACTGGATGTACACAGACTCACTCCGAAATTTTATAAAACCATATTTTCGAAACCATTACACTCATAAAACATTAAAATAACGAAACGAAAGTCAACTCAGAAAGTTTGTATCAGTGCATATGCGTTCCTTTTGAAGTGCGACAGATGGCTATCCGATAATAGATCCGGGAACATACAGGCCTTAGAATCTCTGGAGTTACTCTTTCAACAGATGCAGTGATACTTTGCTCTTCTAAGTTGGCCATTTGCCCAGGACACCCATACACGCCATGACAAACACTACCCATACAAAAGAATGGAGAACCACCTCGTGACGCAATC